AGTGAGTAATTTATGTTAAATTTTATTCTTATTGGAGGGGTGGTGAATAAAATAGAGAAGATAGGGTGTCTACAGAAAATGTGTCACCTTTCTAATAGTAGGGAAATTTAGGATTTTTTAAATATTGCCTTATAAAATTAAGAACTTAAAACTTATATACTATTAAAATATGGATTATTAGCTACAAATTAATGGGTATAACATAAAGGAAAAATGGTTTAATAAAAATTTTAATGTAAGCCACTAAAACCTCGTGACATGCAGTAAATGATGCCCGAGCAGATAGAGTTAATTCTCAAAACCCACAGTCACACAGACAGATAGACATTTAAATTAATTCAATTATATTATCACAGTAGGTTGGTTCCCAGTTAAATTTGGCTGTCAACTCTAGGATTAATATTTATCATAAGGAAAATTACATAAAGATTTAATCACTGTAGTGTTAACGTAAACCATAATTTTATTGATTTGTGTGCGTGGAGGGTATTCCACATGCTAGGCTATGAAATCCTTATGACTAAATTAAAAAAAAATTATAGAATATAACAAAATTGAGCTGCCAGTGGTATTGTGTTCGCTGTTAAATAATAGAAAAATTCTAAAACGTACTTATTTGTGTGCTTTATGAGACAGGGACGAAGCCATTAAATTTTCTAGTATTTTGTCCCTTAGAGAAGAATATTTTTTTAAAGTTTTGTTTGTTTTAAAAATTCCACACCCCTGTAACAGAAACTGAAATGCACGTCAGTTTGAAATTTAATGGGTAATTAATATACTTCATCAATATAGTATACACACACAGTAGCTTATAAAAGCTCCACTATTTGTAAACTATCGAACAACTTAAAATAGAACTTCGTCAAACTACAAGTTAACGTTGGTGACAAAGAATAGAGGAAGATGTTTGAAAAATGCCCTCTATTATTTTATAAAGTTGTATTTTAAATGTAAACAACTTAGTATTCACTAATACATTTCAGAGAGAAAGAAATAATATTATACAGAACCAAACTTAGCTTTGGACATTTTATTAAAAACACTTACTATAATTTTGTTAAATTCTAAGGCTGGGACAATGAATGGATGCATAAAATGCTTATAACCACCAGCGGTTAAACTGTATCCTTCATTTAAAAAAAAAAATCCATATTACACATGTACGTATAAGAAAGAACTGTCATGTCCATTTTTTAACTTTCTCTTTTCCTTATCTCCTAAACTGCTTGTGTAGAAGAATAGCATGTGTTTCCAGAGGTATTGTTTTTTTTTTTCTGTCACACCCCCTCTGCAATCAAAGACAAGTTAAAGGTAAGAAATGTTTTTAAGTAAAATGCCCATGTACAAGGAATAGGGCATTTATCAAAATAATATAATGATATCATAGTTATTAGAAAATAATTTTAATACTGCATTTCATTCTGAACAGTTTACTGCAGCTACAGTTGTAATTAATGAAGTCAAATATAGCTACAGAAACTAGTACAGTTTGTGTAGAATATATATATGGTCTGATGAAAACTCAAAGCCAAAAGGTTTGCAGAACAATTTTCCAAACAATCTGTACTACTGATTGTTTTATGTGTAATAGTTTTGAAAGTCATTACTGCATCAGTGGTTTTAAAAAAAACAACAACATTGTCCCAGCCTTGTTAGAATGTGAAAATGGAATAATATGTAATGAAAGATACACAGTAATAGTGATATATTGTGAAAAGTAAAAGTTGAATGTATTTTTTCTACATGGAAGCAGTGTGTTGCTGCCTGAATAGGGTGGTATAATATCAACAGTAATACATTTTATGACATTTGTGTAATAACCTAACATATGAAGAAGTGTAGAAAGTTATATACAGATATATATTCTTTTATTATATTTTTTACTCATTCCAGACTAGAGAGAGAGAGAGGTTTTGTACAAAAATGTACATTGATGAAGACTCGGTAACAACGAGGTTATACATATTAGTGTTGTAAAGGGAAAATATTTCTACATAGCTATTATAAAATCTCTAGTCTTCAAGACAATGTATATTTGAGATAGTAATTAGGCAAAAGTGGGTTTTAGGTTAGAAACATTGAGTGCAAATTGAAGGTCATTAATACACCCTTGTCTTGTTAAACCTCGTTTGGGGTATTGAATTCACTTTTAGTTATCGTGTTTAAGGAAGAGTTTTGGGTCGTTAAAATGAGATCACAGACTTTTAGGTTTGGAGGAGATTGTCGTATGGAGATAGTTTCAAATCTTGATGTGTTTTCAAAAATATCAAAGAAGTTTAAGCTTGATACCTGCAAGTTTTCATTAAAAAAAACTGCAGGCATTAAAACTAGAAGATAAAAATTTAAAATACTGAAAACTCGGGTGCAACTCCAGTTATTACAGTGTTATTTTTTCCAGTAGGGTGAATAACCTACAGAATAGTTTGTCTTTGATTGTGATAGAAGTTCCAACATTCAAGGAGTTTAATAAAATAAGATTGGATGAGTATTTTAGAGATTTTAGGAAAAGATGTTTCTAATGTAGTTTGTAGTAGCAAATGGTGGACCAGACTTCGTTTTCTGTGGAAATAAAATGATCTTATTTACCAATACCTAGTTAACTTTTAAAGTTACAGCAATTTTTAAAATCTTTGTCCAAATTTGTGTTTCTTCCTCTTGATTTCCTGTTTCTATTCAGCTTATCCTTTCTATAAAAGTTTTTTTTTTCATTTTGATGATCTTTTTAACTAAATAATTACTTTTTTATTTGCTTTCAATATTTAATTTTTCTCACTAATAAATCTAATTTAAAACATTAATTAAATTAGAACTTTTTAGCATTTGCATCTGTAGTAAAATATATAACTTTTTTTTTTATAATAATCACTATGTTGTTTAGAACATAACCACAGAGAAGGTTGATATTCTCTTTTTTTTTTTCTTTTTTTTTTGGTCTGGTGAGTTCATTAAAAACTTCTACTGTAGATTTCGTTATGTGAAATTTGCTTTGCAAAATATTAGGTTGTTGTTATTCTCTTAACTTCAGACTGTTGGTCTACAGATTTCCATGTT